ATCCCACTTTTCACACTGCAACTCTGTGTACATCACTTTATATATGACTATATCCACACACACAACTATTCAAATTAGAGCTCCACCTGATGCTAAGTACTTATAAGAAATGTGTTGTGGGGCTCTCCTCTTTTTACATAAGATGGACTCGTCCAAAGTATACTTATACTGGCAGAGAGAATACCTGCGGTTGAGATACATTGAGATGTCAAACTCTCTGCTTTGGCAGAGAGGAATCTGGTCGAAGCTTTGCCGAAGGGCAAAGTTTCGTCCAGGGAGTTAGACAGGCCCTGAACCCATTGAGGAGGGTTCAAAGGGTATAATTTTGGCCGGAGAAACCCACATTAAACTCTTCCTTGTGTCACATACATTCCTCAAGGGGGGACTGTTAAATATTGAGATATGTGGAGATACATTGAGATATGTGGAGATACGTTGAGATATGTTGAGAGATATGGAGACAGACACAGGTTGTTCTCAGAGAGTTATACAAGAGTCCAGAGAGAGAGGGATGATTATGGCTTTACTTACAGAGACTTGTACATATACTTTCTACTAACCTGCATTCCTGGACTACTAATCTTCACTTCAAGTCTGTATTCTTACATTTAATACACTTATTTTTCCATCTCAATTACTGGCGTTGTTTATTTATTTGTGCAGGATTCCCTTCACGGAATCCCCAACAACTTGGCGACGAGGATTTCGCACTTCATGGGCACTTAAAAAAAAAATTGCCATTGCCAGCGTCCACAATAATTTGGTGACGAAGACTTTGGACCCATACGGAAAAAATTCTCTCTTGTCAACACAACAACTTGATGACGAAGAGTACGGACACGTACGGAAAATTTTTTTTTTTTTCGCTCGCCAACACAATAACTTGGCGACGGAAATTCGAGAGTCATGTCGACCACAACAACTTGGTGACAAGACTCGAAGGAACTCACACAGAGAACAACAAATTAACGACGAACATAATAGGACGTACACAAGAGATAGAAGAAAAATTTCGTCACTCCCAAAAAATGGAAGATTTTCAAAAAGCTTGAGTTTATAAAAAGTGAGGAAAGACAGCTAATAAATGAAGAAAGACAAATGAAACTCCAGGAATTAATATTAAAAGTAACGGTTAACGTACAACAGAAGAATATCGAAAAAAGACGACTTTTTCTCAAGACGCAGTTTGGAACACAATAGAAACATTTAAATACTCTCTAGAAGATGATAAAAATTTCGGGGACTATTACAGACGTCATGAAGACATTTTCAACATTGATTGCCAAAATTGGACGGAAGCTAAGAAGCTACGTTTATTACTCAGGAAATTGGGAACAGAGGAGTACACAAAATTTGTGAACTATATTCTACCGAAAAAGACAAACGATTTGACGTTTGACAAGGCAGTTACATGCCTTACGGAGCTTTTCAGTCCAAGGACTTCACTTTTTCACAAAAGGTGGAAATGTCTCAACCTCGTAAAAAGCGAAAATGAGGACTACTCCATCTTGGCTGCAATTGTGAACAAACATTGCGATGATTTTAAATTGGCAGAATTGACACCGGACGATTTTAAGTGTCTTATTTTCGTACAGGGATTAGTCTCAGCCAAGGACAGTGAAATGCGAAAAAGAATACTCACAAAGCTTCAAAACGAGCCTGGATTAATGCTACAAAAATTGTCAGAAGGCAAAAATGCTTGAGTATAAAAAAAGACTCTAAGGATATCGAGGAATCGGGAGTAGCACACATATGTAAGTTGAACAAAAAGTTGTTTTTCACCACCACCGAAAGAAAAACAAAAATTTTATGATAAAGAAAAAATTACAAAGTATAAGGCGATTAATGACAGACATCAAAGCAAATATAATTCCCCCCCCCATCTGCATGTTACAGATGTGGTTGATTCCACTGGAATAAAGACTGTTGATTTAAATACAAGAACTGTTTAGCTTGTGGAAAAATGGGACATAAGGCATCTCAATGCAGAAACAAAAAACACACTAGTAGGGTAAGAACTACTAGAATGGACTACGAAGACAAACTAAACACAAGAAAATATGTGGAACTCGAGATCTTAAATAAAAAGGTAAAATTACAGTTAGACTCAGGATCAGATCTAACTAATTAATTTACAGACATGGAGGAAGCTAAATAGACCGACCATGATGCATACACAGAAAATCGCCAAGTCTGTTACAGGGAGGCATATCAATTTTGAAGGAGAAGTAATTCTAAACGTAAAATTTCATGGTAAAACAAAAAAAATATAATATATATAATATAATCAATGAAGGTGGCAGAAAACCAGGTCTAGATAGGGCATCTACAATAAAAAATATGCCTGAGCCAAAAGATTCGCAGAGTTGCAAAGCTTTCTTGGTCTAGCAAACTATTATGGTGAATTCATTGAAAACATGCACAAATTGAGGGCTCCCCTCAATGAATTATTGAAAAAAGATAACAAATGGAACTGGACGGAAGATTGTCAGAAAGCTTTGAAGGAGATCATAAAGAAATTAACGTCTGATCTAGCACTGACGCATTTTGATCCCAAACTGGAAATTATCATTGCTAGTGATGCAAGCTCACATGGGGTGAGAGCTTGTATATTACACAAGATGCAGGATGGCACAAGGAAACCTATAGCTCACGCATCTAGATCATTGTTACCAGCAGAGAGGAATTATTCGCAAATTGAGAAAGAAGTGCTAGGCATAATATTTGCCATAACTTGCTTCCACAGATACATATATGAGAGAGAATTTACTCTTCAAACTAACCATAAACCTCTTCTCACTATATTCAGATCAAAAAAGGACTACCAATTTACACAGCCAACAGACTTCTGAGATGGGGAACTATATTTTTGAATTATAATTTCAAACTAGAGTTCCTACTGTCAAAGAAAATTGGTCATGCGGATGGATTATCTAGATTGGTACCTGAGAAATGCAAACCTCTGGAAGACTCAGTAATAGCAGCTTTGCAAGTCGAAGACGAAATTAGTAAAGTTCTAAACAATACAGTAAAGGAATTGCCAGTGACCTAATAAGAGAGAAGAGAAGCTGAAATGGATAAATTTATACAAAGTACAAAGAGAAAAATAGAAGAAAAAGACAGAAACCCAGCAAAGTGTTTTGCAATTTGTAATCACATATTACTTTATAATGAAAGAGTGGTCATACCCAAATCTTTACAGAGACGAATTCTGAAGGACTTTCATCTAGGACACCCAGGGAAAAATTGTATGAAAGTGTTAATGAGAATGTATTGGCCTAATATGGATAACGACATTACCCAAATAGTAGAAAAATGTAGAGGCTGTGCTGTGGCAGCAAAGGCACCAAAAACCATACAAAAACCATGGCCTAAGGTGGACAGACCTTGGTCTAGAATCCATGCGGACTATGCAGAACCCATAGATGGATATTACTACTTGATAATGGTAGATAGCTTTAGCAAGTGGCCAGAAGTTTTCAGATACAAAAACCCTATGACGGAAAACACTATTAATTGTCTACACGAGTTATTCGCAAGATTTGGCATTGTAGATTGCCTTGTAATGAATAATGGTACCTAATTCACCTCGAGCAACTTTCAAGAATTCTGTGTGAGTTAACAAGTCAGACATATTAAAATAGCACCATACCATCCACGATCTAATGGGCAAGCTGAAAGGTTTGTGGACACACTTAAGAGAGCCTTGAAAAAAGCAGAGGACATACCAACAGAAAGAGCCATACAACAGTTCCTACAAGTCTACAGAATCACCCCAAATGGAAACACACCATTTGGCCTTTCGCCAGCTGAAGTGATGTTTGCCCACAAAATACGGTCTGTTTTTGATAAACTATTACCCAGCAAAAATAAAAACCAGCATACACCAATAATGCCTAAAAGATCCTTCAAACCAGGTGAATGGGTCTATTTCAGAATGTTCAAGAATAATATGGCATACTGGGAACCAGGTACGATAATAAACAGACTGGGGAATGTTCTATACATGATCCAAGGTGGAAAAATTCACTCACAGGAGACACAAAAATCAGATACAGAAAAGACAGGTAGAGGAACCAAACTTGTCATCTTCCGAAAATGAAGACGCGATGGAGGTGACTATCAAAGCCTTGAAAATTCAAAAACCACAAGTAGCCACGGAGATCAGAAAAACAAGCTGAAAAAGAAAATTCACGCAACCACTAATAATAGACCATAAGCAAAAAAAATATTAACTCCCCCAAAAAAAAGAAGCTAAGGAGGGGGGTGTTGTGGGGTTCTCCCCTTTTTACATAAGATGGACTTGTCCAAAGTATACTTATACTGACAGAGAGAATACCTGCGGTTGAGATACGTTGAGATATATGGAGATACGTGGAGATACGTTGAGGCAGGTTGAGAGATATGCAGTGTGTTCTCAGCGAGTTATACAAGAGTCCAGAGAGAGAGATGATTATGGCTTTACTTACAGAGATGTGTACATATACTTTCTACTAACCCACATTCCTGAACTAGTAATCTTCACTTCAAGTCTGTATTCTTACGTTTAATACAATTTTTCTATCTCAGTTACTGGCGTTGTTTATTTATTTGTGCAGGATTCCCTTCACTGATTCCACAACAAAATGATTGTCAACTATTTGATTTCAGATTTTACCTGCAAAAAATTTTTTGCACAGTTGGCATGATGATGGTGATGATGATGATGATGATGATGATGATGATGATCAATCCATTCCTCACAAAGAAACCAAAATAAGGATTTCTTTGCTTATCATCCACATTCCACATTTCTTAATTTTGCAATGTCAGACAAAGAGGAATATTTTTTCAGGATGCATTTCAATAGAACTTGTAAGGTGATGAATAATCTCAACAAATATTTACAGTTTTTGGCAAATGCAAATGTCTTCTTTTACATTTACGTTCTTTGAGACTAATAAATTAAATTCCACTGTTGAATTTTACAACTTTTCAAATAAATAAATACATTGTGTTACCTTTCTTCATCAATTTCCTTGCTAACAAGCTCAAAGAATTCCATTCTGAGAGAATGGAGCCAGTTTTTAAATTCTGTTAGAAATGGACCCACTTCTCCTTCATCATCCTGCAAATAAAAAAAGTATGTAATTTTCTGAAATGTAAATACTTAGTTTACAATGAATAATTTATTATTTATACTTCATTTTAAAAAAAGTTTTATGTTGGCCTTTATTTAATTTCCAGTTGAATGAAAAAATTCCTTAATCTTTCATTTACTTATAAAAAAATGAGTCCTGTAGTTTTGAGTCTCTTGTTTTCGACTTCAAATTTCACAAAATATTTCATGAATAAGTTAAATTCAGCACATATAAGTATATATATATATATATATATATATATATATATATAAAATAATCTTATTCTGTCAGTAACATTTGAAATATTTGTAGCAGTCAAAGAGGATAAGAAATCTGATCTCGAATCTATACTTTTTGTTTCTGATTTTCAGAAAAAAAGTTCTGTTAATTGAAAAAGTAAATTGCCAAGAAGTTAATCTTCACTCTTCTGTTTATTCTTCTCAGATTTGGTTCTAAGTGAAAAGGATACCTCAAGGTGTGACTTATAGATTTGGGAATAAGAAAATCAAGTATGCCTGGAAATCTATCTGGGTTGATGACTGAATGTGTGACACAGAAATCTGAACATATTTTTCTGAATAGATGCAGTCTTTATCATACAGATCTATAACTCTGAAATTACAATCCACATTTTAATGAAGTCTACAAAGTATACATCTGCATTTATTGAGCTCTTGGCTATAGGTATGCATTTTATATAAAGGCATATATAAACATGTAAAAATAGATTTCAAATCAATGAAAAATATTAAGCACTTGAATGAAATTGGGATTCACTCCAGATTAATGAAACAGTAAAGAATAAAAATAAATGCTTGATGTTTAAATCAGAAATAAATTATTAAACGAGACATCAGACTCTTTTTAATGATCTCCATATATCAGTCCTCAAAAAAGATACTAGAGTTATATAAACTTCCATCAAAAATGTCTTTATTTAAAACAATTAAGATTTTTATCTAAAATAAAAGTAATGACAAGAAAAATATATTTAATGCTGAAAAGCATGGAATAAGAAAAAAACAACAAATTGAAAAATTATACAGTTCATTATATGAAAACATTTTTACAGCGCACTCTATTTTGGGGTACAGGACAACTCAACACTGCCAACTGAACACCAGGACAACTCAGGATTGAGGCAACTCAGCATCAGAAAAACATAATTTTTTTTATAACCAAATAAAAGTCATTTATTAAGGATTAAAACCTTAATTAGTGAATATTTTTGTAATTATTTTTAATAAAGTAAATCATATTTATAATTTTAATACAGTAAAAATATTCACTAATTAAGGTTTTAATCCTTAATAAATGACTTTTATTTGGTTATAAAAAAAATAATGTTTTATGATGTCCAGTTCTGAATTGTTCTGGCATTCAGCCAGTGATATTGAGTTGTCCCTTCACATGTAATATCCAATCATATCTGCATCAAAATTCTAAAGAATCCTTTGTAAAGCCACTTTAAACTTAGCAATAGTTCTTAATCTGGGATTAACCAAAGAATATGTTGCATTAAAAACACAAGAATAAATTCTTTCCTTGGTTAAGCAATAAACCCTTCAAACAGAATATTTCTCATTAGAAGCAGAAATTAAAGTGAAGTTTTAACATTTTTCATTACAAAACTTTTCTTGCTGATTTCGTGAAATATTGAAATCAATTCAAATTATTTATTTATGCAAAGTACATATCTCTTGAATAAAGGCACTTTTAAAAATGATTAAAATATTTAAGCTTTGAATAAAAGTATTATGTTTTTTCTGGTATAATTATCTCTTTGTTTTTTTAGTTGTTAGTTGTCATATATGTGGAAATTTAAAAACTTTTGCTTACTTGAACTATAACACTTGTCTCTCATTATGTGTCACTCAAAATACATGACCCACCAAATTAAACTGTAGTGATATCACTCAACTGCCAACAATTTCTACATATGGCCTTCAGCCAGTCCAAAGTAGCAAAAGATGACATCACAGTACCAGTAAGAATAGTCTTCATTTAATAGACAAACACATATCAATTTGAAGATCTCAACAAGAAATATTTTCTGTGTTTTTAAAGAATAATAGGAAATCAAGTACTACAGGTAAAATACATCCCAAAACATTTACTAAATGCTTGATTGGCTATGGGAAAAAAAAACAAACTATTGCTACAATTTTGAAAATTAAAAAAAATGTCTCACCTCTAGAAAAAGCTGATCAAAATTGATATCTTCTTCTGCTTCCTGTTCTTCTAAAGCTTTGTTGACAAGAGAAGAGATTATATTGGGATCATTAGAATTGAGGAAGTTTTGTAAATGCTGATGAAATTCTGTTCTTGTCATGACATTATGTGAAGGCAGAGATCTATGAAGAAAATTCATCAAGTCTTTGATGACACTAAGCTGATAATGGTAGATATTTTCATCCATCTGTTTAAAACAAAAAAAAACAAACAATCTATAATCATCTGAATAATAAACTGTGTACTTTTTTTTTATCAGGAATGCTTGTATTAATTTCTGATCAATGATAATCAAGTTTTTCCTGATTTTCAATACATAAAATACTGAAAGCCAAAATGAATGAAACCAGTTTTAGGACCAAACTTCCAAAAATCAATGTTTAAGTATTATTTTTTTTTCTCTACTGCAAGAAATATTTACTATATTAGTGTAGAAAATGATTAAGCTCAAAAATGGAATGATAGAGTAGAGGTATAGTCAGTGGGCCCTGATGAAGAAATGATAACACTTTTATGCAAGTAAAGGAAGCTGGCATTATGATTCTGTTGTGATGAGGTTTTCACTCAATATATAAAAATCAACAAAAGTTTAGTGTATTTGTTTACTAAATCCTACCCATTATATCACAGGTAATAACTCCTAACCATCATATCACACGTAATAAATCCTAACCATCATATCACAGGTAATAAATCCTCACCATCATATCACAGGTAATAAATCCTAACCATAATATCACAGGTAATAAATCCTAACCAGCATATCACAGGTAATAAATCCTAACAATCATATCACAGGTAATTGGTTTGGTTTATTTAGTTTAACAGCATATCAACCTCAAAGGTTTATTTAATGCTGACAACATTTTGGGGATGGGTTTGAAGGAACAGAGTTTATATTCTTTGTAAGGAATTATTTTGTAGATGTAGGTTTTATTGACATATTTTATAAAGAGGGATTTTGTTGAAGTCAAATGTATTGCTGGTAATAATTTTTCCTTCAAAAATTGGTTGCAAAACAATGTAGATAAGCAAATTTAGTAAAGAGTTTTTTGTTTTTATATATTTTCCTGTAGAGCCCAATTTCTTTAATGAAATTTATGATGTTACTTGGATTGATATTTTCAAATAGATCCTTTAAATTATCCGATTTGTAAAGTTTGATTTGGGTTTGATGGAAGTTACAGCAATTTAGTAGAATGTGTTTAATGGTATATAGTTCCTAGTATGGAACACATATTAGCAGTTCATCATTTTTTAGTAGATTTTGATGGGTTATGTATGTGTGTCCTATACAGAATCTGGCTAGAATCACCTTCTCTCTCTTTATCTTTGTGTAACTTGACTGTCTTTCACTGATGATTGGTTTGATGTTGAGTAGTTTGTTGTTTACACAGTTGTTCCATAATTGTTGCCATTTTTCTTTAATGGTCCTGTTTATGGTGAGACCAAAAATCAGTGTGTAGCACCTTTACATTTGAGGGGGCTATGTTCAATAATTCCTTTGCCATTTTGCTGGCTTTTCAATTTCCTTGTATGTCAATATAGCTCGGTATCCAGCATAGGACTATTATGGCATCTTTTTCTTTATAAATAGAGTCAATCCTATTTAATTTATTTATTAAGGGGTTTCCCATGTTTTTATTCTTCAGACCTGTGAGTACCGATAGTGAATCTGAGATGATGATGAATCTATCTGATCAACTGGATTCTATATCTAAAGCCAAGTGTATGACTGAGGCTTTGTCAGGCAATCTTTTCTGCATTGTTATATTGTTAAGGTTAGCAGAGCATCAAACTCTGTCCAAGATTTTAGAGCCATCAGTGTATATATGCTTATAATTTGGGTGAGATTGTAGAATATTATGGATTTTTTTCATGCAATCAGATAAGTTAGAATTTTAGGGTATTTAGTAATGTTTAGCAAAATCATAAAGTATTTCATTAACCAGGGTGGGTTTTTTGAGTTGATGGTTTTAAGAATTAGTATTCAATTTATTTGTTTTTTGCTGATGAGATTTTTCATGTAAAAGCCAAAAGGTTTGATAGCATTTTCTTTTTTATCAAATAGACTTTTGTATTTAGGGTTGAAGGTACACTAGTAGGCAGGGTTAGTTGGGCAGGATTTAAGTTTCAGATGATATTGTAATGCCAGTTTTTCTTGTCTCAATTTCAATGGTGCCTCATGGGCTTCAGCATATAAACTATCTATGGGTGATGTTTTGAAGGCACCCACAGCAAGTCTTAATCTTGCATGGTGAATGGGGTCAAGGGTTTTTTGGTAGGATTTCCAGGTTAACCCATATATGAAACATTCATAGTCCATAAGTTCTTATTAGAGCTCTATATCATTTTAGGAGTGATATTTGATCTGTTCCCCAGTCAGTGTTAGCCATGACCCATAGTAATTGTAATGCTTTGAATCATTTCTGTTTTAAGTGGGGGATAAAAGTAAGTTTTTCATCAAAAAAAATACCCAGAAATTTATGTTGGTCAGTGATTTCAATTTCTGTTCCTTCCAGTTCAAGAGTTGGATCATTATGCATTTTTTCAGATTGCAGAAATGGATGCACTTTGTTTTGTTTGGGAAGAATTTGAAACTGTTTTTGATAGTCTATCAGTTTAATTTATTTAGGCACACTTGCAGTTGTCTTTCTGCAGTGTGCATATTTTTTGATCTGTAGCAGATCAAAAGGTCGTCTATGTATAATGAACCATCGACTCCTTGATTCAAGCAATTAACAATGTTGTTAATTTTTATATTAAAATGATTGACGAACTTGATGAAACTTTGTGGCACTCCTTCTTGGATTTTTGGGTCCAAGAGTGTTGATCCAACCCAAACTTTGAAACTTCTATCTAACAAAAAGTTATTTATCAAATTGGGTAATCTGCCCTTTAATCCCAGATTGTATAGGTCTTTCATTATTCCATGTCTCCATGTTGTTTTATAGGACTTTTCCAGATTGAAGAAAATGGCTATTGCATGTTCTTTTTTAATAAAGGCCTCTCTAATGAAATTTTCTAGGCAGACTATGTTGTTTGTGATACATTTATTTTGGAATCCACTCTAGAGATTGGTAAATAAACCATTAGTTTCGAGGTACCAGTTCAATCTTTTAATTACTATTGTTTCTAGGGTTATGCATATGCAACTTGTTAATGTAATGGGCCAGAAATTTTAGGGGACTTATTTGTCTTTATTTGGTTTTGATATAGGGATCATGGTAGTTTGTTTCCAGCTTTTTGGTAGTTTTCCCTTAAACCTTATCTTGTTAAAGATGTTTAACAAATATTTTAAGGATTTTGGGGAGAGTTGTTTAAGAAATACATAATGAATTTCATCTGGCCATAATTGTCATTCACTTATGGCATCTATAAGTTCAGTTAGAGTAAAAAGATGGTTGTAATCTTCTTTGTTGTTTGAGTTAAAGTTGAGTTTTTTTTTTTCTGCATCATACCTAAGTTTTTGGAATTGCTATTTGTAGTTTTCACTGGAGGAAATTTTTTTAAACGTTTCTGAAAGTAGATTTGCTATATGCTTTTTGCTTGTTATCTTTATATTATTTTGGGAAATGTCATTTAGAGGAGGTGATAGATTTTTGTCAGGGATTTTCTTTATCTTATTCTAGACCTTTTTAGATTTTGTTTGGAGTTTATTTTATGTATGTAATCTCTCCATGATTTTCTTTTTGCTTCTTTGATCGCTCTACCTGCTATTGCTCTTTTTTGTTTAAATAGATTTAAATTATGGATTATGGGCTGAGTATTAAATTTTTGTTTGCAATCTTTGTCAAACCATGGTCTTTGATGTTTATTTGATTCACTGCTTTTTGGTATACATTTTCTCACCAATGCTATAAATGTTTCAGGGAAATATTCAATAGATTTTTGGGTCATCTTTGTCAGTAAGTTTATGTCAGCATTGGTTTTTCTATTCTCTCCAATCTGCTTTCTTTAGTTTCCATCAAGAGAAATTGTTTTCAATTGGTTCTGAACTCTTCAGTATAATTGGTTACTGATCACTGCTGCATGAATCATCAAGAACTTGCCAATTGTAATCCATAAAAATAGAGGGGGGGGTCACACAGTGATAGGTCAATAGGTGAGTATATACCTGATGCAGGATGTAGATATGAATTAGACTTATCATTTAGTAAACATAAGTCATTATTGTTAATTACATTTTCCAGGTTTTTCCCTTTTTTGTTTGAGTTCTTGGATCCCCATTGTGACTGTTAAAGTCACCTAATGATATGAATGGCTTTGGTAGTTGTTCTATTAGTTTATTTAGATCAGTTTCATTTATGGGATTGTGTCATGGGATGTAAATAGCGCAGATGTTAATGATTGTATGTAGGGTACTTTTTGAAGCAATTGCTTTTAGATTGATTTCTAGAAGTATTTTACTTTGGTGGGGAGGGATGTCATTTCTGATTAGGATCGATACATCCCCAGATGCCCTCTGTTGAGAGTCATCTATGAAGTTATATTGAGTATAGTTTTTTTTACTTTTATTTTATCATTAGGTTTTAGGAAAATTTCTTGAAGGCAAATGATGGCAGAGAGTTGATTCATTATGAGTAGGAGTAATTAATTTATGTGTGTATTTAGGCCTTGACAATTCTACGGCATAATTTTTTGCTTCATGTTTATTTATTAGGGTGCTATGAATTTTTTTTGTCTAGCTTATGTTTAGTGGGTGAAGTATCCATAATTTCTATGCTCTCAAGTCTGTTAGCGCTTTGTTTCTTGTCATGTTTTCTTCTTTGAAGGTCTTTTGTTTCTGCTTCTTTGTTTGATCTTGTTTCCTTTGTTTTTCCATTAGATTCTTTTGACCATCTTTGGATGCTCACTGTTCCCTTGTTTGAGATGGGATAGAGTTTTGTTCATCTATGTCCATTTCTCTTGGTTCTTCAATGATGTACTGGGTTGCGTTATTTCTTTTATGAACCTTTTGATCAGGACCGAATTAAGACCCATAGGGGCCCTAAGCACTTAAAAGATTTTCGGCCCCACTTACATCTGCGAGTTAAGTATGCTAGTATGAAGTCTTGGTGAGTTGTGTAAATAAAGGATATCAACCGAGAATATGCAACATGGAAAGACTAGCTGGAAATAAATCTAGAAGGAACTGAAGGCACATATGATGATCGAGAGAGGCTGATCATCAGTTCCAATCCAGAACAACATCAACCAAGAAAGAACGAATCACAGCTGAGAAGCCACTGTCACATGAGCCACAAACAGTGACCAGAAGTGGTTGTGTAATCAATAAACCAGTGTGTTACATAAACATATGGTTAGCATAATGTCAAATGAACATGAAGTTAGTCTACACCTGTTCACAAAAATTAAATCCCATTAAGTTAATTAGTAATACATTATGAAGTGGACAAAGTCTGACAATTATTTTAAGACATTTTATGTTTATACATTCTTTTTATAGATACAAATATTTAAGTAAATGCTCCGTTTATAATAAACAGTATTAAACAACATTTACCGGTCTGAATGTCTGAGAAATTTTCACAGAAAATATTCGTCCTCCGACAGGATTCCATTCACCCTTATCTGCCAGGGCTACACAGACAGTATAGTAAAGCTGAAATTGGATACAAGCACCCACATTCCCTTACCATGTCTACCCAAGTATAGTATGGTGTAAGGATTCGCAGTTATGTCAAAGTCATTATCTTTTATCTCAACTAGCCCTTGCCACTATGTGACTAGCTGATTGGATTGGATTTTGCTATTCCATCCATCCATCTATCCCAGGTAGGGACCAAAGTGATGCGTTGTGAAAACTCCTGGTCATTTTATACTGAATCAGGAATCATTCAGTCACCAGGACTCCGTTCCTGTGCATCACAGGTCGCCAACCCTGGCAAACAGGTGGCCTCATTGAGGGAAATTTGTAGTTTTTGGAAACCGGTTTTTGCGAATGTACATTTTAAATTTTAGAGGTATTTTATATGGACAAGTAGTTTAGGCATAGTGATTTGTGTAAACAGATAGTTTGTGGATTATGATTTTTTATTAGTTGTTTAAACATGTCTCTTTTAGAGTGTAAGGAGAAACTATATTATTTTCCTGAAGGCATCATCCTAGCTATAAACAGATAGGTTATAGGTTTATCAAATAAGCTGACAGCTTGTAAGTGAAGTTTTCCTCATATGAACAATTAGATTCTAATCCATCTTGTTTACTATACTATGCCTGATAATGTTTTACACAAGACGTGGGTGAAATTGTTTTGCGAAAAACACAGATTGCGGTTTAGCTAATTTCCTTGGGAGTATAAGTAATTTCTTTTATGGAAATGTATTGTTGGTAATTTTTATTTTTAAAATGCATTGCTGGTAACTTTTTAATCACAAAACGTATTTCTAACACCTTCACTACAAAAATGTATTTCTAGCCTTTCATAGTGTTTTGATCCCAGATTGGGGTAAATTATTTACCCATAGTTGGAACCCTAATGGGTGCAAACACCATGGGTCAGAGTGGAACAACAGAAATTATGAGGTGGTTCCACACACTTCAAAAATTCCTGATGAGAGGCCTTGTTGACAGATGTAGTTTATTGTCAAAACCAGGATGGTCATAGGCAGTAGATAAGCAATCATTTTTGAGTGAATGAATGTTGATTATAACATTTCAAATGCTCAGTTTCATTTCTCGTCTATTCAGTGTAAAGGTTTGACAAGTGACTTTCAAAATGTTTTGTCTTATTTTTTATCTGATAGATTTTAAATTAAAATAAGTGAAGTGCTTGTAACTAAGCAATTGAAGGTTATCAATGCGACAAGGAAGTAATTACTTTTAGGAGAAATTTTTAAATATCAATAAAATTTTATTTCTATTTACAGATAATTTAATATTAATTGATTATAATTCACTTTTCTAAGGGTTTAAAATAAACAAGCTAGAATGCAACTAGTGAGAATGTTTTAGTTTTTGTTAGGACTAATTAAATGAATGTTTGTGTTTCACATTAGAGAAGGTACCTCCACAAAAATCAATATACCTAAGATTTAAATTAATTTAAAAAAATGAAAAAGTTTCCTTGAAGTTTTCATTTTAGCCTTAATTGAAAGCTAAAGGATTAAATTTACTATTTATAGTAAGCAAAATAACCTGGTGTATTTCAAGCAGAAATTATATTGATTGGAATCAATTTCCATTTTTTTCAGTAACATCATCAAAGTCATCCATTTTTGAGACATTTGTAAACATAAGTTAGTTCCCAGTTTTAAAAATCTTGCAAAAATAAAATATACTTTTCTGAAACTTTATTTGAGGAATATTAGCTGATTTAAAGTATAATTATAATTTACTTTAAGTTTAAAATATTGCAGAAATTAATTTTTTAACCAAACAGTAGCTGTGTTTTTAACTGATAGTAGCTGTTTTTATATGTTTGATGAGGTGATGACAGATTTAATGATAGAGACTTTATCTGTAAAACATAATTTAAGAAAATGACATGAGTGGCTTTTTTTATATAATTTTCAAGTACTTAATTAATCTTAAAAATTTAGGAAAATATCCTTTGTAATCTAATGTTTTATTGAATTTTAGAAATTTTGGCTTTAAATTTAATATAGTTGCCATTCTTATTTTCCAATCATGTCACATATGGTTGAATGTACTGAAAAATATGTGCCATGTTTTTACATTAATAAAAAAAATTCAAAATTATTTTAAAAATCTTGGTGCATGATGATTTGTTAAGCTTTTCCATTTATAATTAGTAAATATTGTTTACAATTAATGATAATATAATCTAAGAGGTTGATATTAATAAAGAATTTTAAAAGATTTAAATTATTATAATCAAAATTTTAAAAAAATTTAAAAAAAAAATCATTATTCATCAAAATAATTTTTTCTTAAGACATTGAAAATGTGTCCTTAATATATCTTATTTATAAAAGCAACTAAAAGCTTTTCTGATTAAATAATGTCATAGTTTTTTTGCATTTTTTATTTTACGATTTGGAGTAGATTTTTGGTAAATGAGTAACTGGAAAAAAAAAAATTGATGATTTACATTCTCCAAGGAATCTTGCTTTAAACTAATATAAAAAATATTCAGATCAAAATTTAATTTCTGGAAAATTAAGTTGGGGTAACAACTGTAAAAAAATATTTTTACCGAAATTTTCTAAAAAAATATTTAAATAGTTAAAAGTTAGTTTCATTCATTTGTGAATAAGTCCTGAAAATTTCATTAAAATCTGATAATTATTTGATTTTTGGCAATGTGTTTTTATTGCAAAAAAAGATGCTAAATTTTGCATAGTAATCTTTGGCCCACTGCTGACATAAAAAAACAAGATTTTTAACCAAAATTTTGAATGTGCTAGAAAGGATTTAAAAAATTAAATAAAGAAAATACTTTGGTTTTTCCTCTAAATAATAACATAAACATTTTGATGGCAAAACTTTGTTTTCATCAAATTTGGGGCTTTTTTCATCATGCAATGCTCTTTTTTAGCAAAAACATGGAGGTACCTACATTAGAACAATCATTTTTTTTGCATTTTTCCTTTCCTTTTCATTTTTAAACTTTGTATCGCTTTTGGGAGATGTTGGTATTTTTTAGTAATTTAAAAATGTTTTGAATGAATGTAATTTTCGTATGATTATGATTAGCCACAGAAAATGTGTTTTCTTACTTCTCCATTCAAAATGAGCCAGAAAAGTTCAATGTTTTTGTTGGTCCCTGCAAATATTTTGCAAGCCTCCACCAAATTGTAAGTCCACTCAGTTTTCATAATTGGGATAGGGAAGATCTCATTCAGACAGTTATCAACAAAATCAGCAAAACTGCTACCCTGAAAAAAAGACAAAGTAGGCAAGAATTAGATTTATATCTATCCCAAAAGCATTAAATGTAAAATGAACAATGCATAGAATTAATTTGAACTTGTTTTACCACATTTGAACCAATTCCATTCTCTGTATCATTAAGTTGCCTACATTTCCATGAGTAGGAATATTTCCTTTGCATTGTGAGATTCAGATATATGAACCTTTATTGTAATATATTTGCAATTCCACAAACTTTGGCAATTTCTCCAAAGAACATTTGTTAATAATATCTATTGGTACATTACTGACTAGAAGAAATAATTTTTATATAATTTTATAAGAAACAATAAATTGGATTTGTTTCTATCAATTTCAGGGCCACTTATGACTTTTGACGATATACTCATTTTTAACTGAATTGGCTAAAATTTAATCCATTTTAACATTCAAATAAGCTAAGTATTTTCTTTACAACACATTAGTGCTTCACTATGTTTAGTAGAATTCTAATAAAAAATGTTAGTTTCTTGCCTTAGTTTTAATATCATCAGTTGCTGATGAAAGCCCCACATGAACCTACTACTGACTCTCAACTTTCTGTACCTTGAAATGTATTTTGCATTTATTGCCAAATATTTGTCATTTAATGTTTTTCTTAGTAATATATTAAAAAAGGTTTCTTTACAGTAACTTATACTAAGTGAAATCTTAAAGTATCATAGCAATAAATCCCCAGTGAGATCAGGAACAGGGCTTTCATCTACTCAAGTCAGTCATAAGGTTAAAATATTACTTTGAAAAATGGTGACAAACTTCAACAGCTCAATAATCTGCCAATGAGGAAGCCTTAACAGAAATCTACAAACTTGAGGACCTACTTCCATTCTTCCACTTTGATAGGCCATGACATATAAAATCCTTGTTTAAAACTCCATTAACAAAGACCTGGGGACTACTCCACAATCCTGCAACAGATCTGGAGTACCTTCATAAATGGTTATTGGATTCTAAAGAATGATATTAAACAAGGAAATAATGTTTGAATCCATTTTCAGAAAATAGATTTTCTAGTTGAGAAAAAGGTCAAAATGTCCGAATAAAGCAAGAATCCATGAAAAGTGATGCCTGTCATTTAGTTAATGAACAGATCAATATAAGCATTTTTTACACTAGAGTCCATATTTAGTATATAATTTGTTATTGTTATATGTATTCTCTCTGACAGATGTAGTCTCGTCAAGAGAAGATAACTCTCTCATAGGTATAGCAATACTGCCTTTTATACAGTGACTCATTTACATATCACTACATCTCCCTGAACCTAAGAGACTTTATACCTTTAGTTGATCTTTGACTTCTATGAACAACCCTGCGAGACATAATCAGTCTCTCAGTTTCTTTATTTCTTTCTATGGGAGATCTAGGTCTTAACTTATTCTCTTCATTTGAATCATCATGATATCTCGGGTCACTCTCATCCCCAGATTGTTCCTTACTACTACTGGATCCACTCATTCTCTCCTCCCTCTCCTGTTCTTCACTTTCATATCTCTGCTGGTCTTCCTATTCACACACTCAATACTGGATTCATTCATCTTTTCTTGCATTGTCTGTTCTGTTTCCTCTTCCTTTTCCCTAACTTCATGCTCTCTTGTGGCTCTAAATTGGTCTGTTTCTGTCCAGTGCAAAATCCTATCCTCACAATTTTCACTTGCTTCAACATTTTAAATTGAATCAAGATAATATATCTACATGCAGAATAGTATTTCCTTCAATGTATACATTGTCAAATTTGAACACCATAAGCTTAATGGCCGATGGCAACTCTCTTCTAGGGTTGAATATAAATTCCAAAGGCTTATGACCAAATTTTAATAGAAATTTCCTTCCCAGTAAAAAATTTCTAGCTCTTTCTGGACTGCCCATAATCACTAATGCCTCCTTCTCAACATTTGAATAATTTGCCTCCACCAATGGTAGTTTTTTGGATAAGTACATTCCAGGGTGATCCTCCTGCAACAAGAGTGAATTTTAATTTGCCTAAATTTATTTATTTCTGCACACTTTGGACATTTTTTAACATACACTTCCAGATCTCTCAAATAGACTGGCCAGCATGCTTGCAATTTTTACCTCATATCAGTCTCTCAGAGTGAGTGTCTTTATTTCTTTCTATGGGAGATCTAGGTCTTAACTTATTCTCCTCTTTTGAATCATCATGATATCTCAAATCACTCTCATCCCCAGATTGTTCTTAAATGGATCCACTCATTCTCTCCTCCCTCTCCTGTTCTTCACTTTCATATCTCTGCTGGTCTTCCTATTCACTCTCAATACTGGATTCATTCATCCTTTCTTGCATTGTCTGTTCTTCTGCTTCCTCTTCCTTTTCCCTAACTTCATGCTCTCTTGTGGCTCTAAATTGGTCTTCGTGAGCCAGTATACCCTGTCCCTTCTTTGTTAACACTGCTGTGTTAAATCCCTTTTGCACCACAAAATTCACCTTTTCAGGACTTGAATCCTTGTCCTTTCTGTACCATCAACATTCATTCATTGCAAATGACATGGCAATTGAAACTCTTATTTGTCTTCCCATCAATGTGGATCGGCTTTGTCTTCTACATGTATACAGAATAGCTCTATTACTTAGGAGTATTCTAGGTAAATAACAATCCACAGGAAAGAATGCTTTTAATTCCATTTTTACCATTCAAATAATTCTCTCTGCAATTCTATTTGACTGTGGGTGGTAAGGTTGTGTTTTGTATGAAATGCAGCCAATACTTTTTAGTCATGCACATAAACTCAGGTGCATTATCCTCAACACATGTTTCACAATAATGGCTTTTCTATCTGCAACTTTAATAACTTCAGGCCGACCTGAATACGAGTTAATTATATATATATATATATATATATATATATATATATATATATATATATATATATATATATATATATATAAATAAATAAATACACATATATATTTAAAGACATTTTTATGTTTAACATTCTTTTATAGATACAAGTATTTTAGTAAATGCTCTGTTTATAATAAACATTATTAAATAACATTTACCAGCCTGAATGTCCGAGAAATTTTCATAGGAAATATTCGTCCTCTGACAGGATTCGAACCTGCATCCTATACGTAACTGTCATTTAGCTTGACGTACCTAACCGCTCGGCCACAAAGGATCGTTTGATTGGCAAGGTTGAATTTACTGCTTATAAACTTCAATCTTCCAATAATGAAATGTGCATGAATGAAAAGATGCTGCCTAAATACACACACAATATATATATATATATATACACACACACACACTTATATATACATACACACACCTACATATACACATGCAGACACATATGTGTGTGTGTATATATATGTATATAAATGAGTGAAAGCCACATTGTAAGGGAGCACTTGGAACATGCAAATTGCTGAGGATATTAGACAATTATGGGACTTTTCTATTTGAATTTATTTTAACAGTATAAATCTTTACCTTTTTCTCACACACCATAAAATATATTTTAGATTAATTTTAAAATATGATGATATCAGATGAGAAATACAAAAGAACACAAAAGAAATTATCATCTGTGATTTCATTTCCGAGCTTTTTTTTTTAAAGCTAGACTAACTCCAATCAATGAAAATATAAATATTCATCTATAAATATTTTACTGCTTACCTTTCTGAAATTTTTTATTCTCCTTCTCCAGATGTCTTTGATTAATAGGGCACAGTCACATTTGTTGAATTGGCGGTTATATACTTGTCCCTCATATCTCAAATACTTGGGTACATCTTCACTTAATCCCTGTAAATAATATTAAACAGAGGCTATAGGATAAGAAAGATTTTAATGAAATGGATATTCTGATCAATGAAAGACCTATAAAATGTTTTGTACCAAACCAAAGTTTCTTTTACTTATATTCTACATTTAGACAAATGAATGCTTTTGAAAATAATAAAGTTGAGGTGATTCTCAAATATGAGGTGCTTGGTTTGGAGTAGCAAAAATTCATTTCTAAAGAGATCTAAAGAGAGCAATTTCAGTCAGTGGCAAAAAGACGATACACTGTGTGTATATATATATATATATATATATATATATATATATATATATATATATATACTATTTAGCGCTGGTAATGAAAAGAAGGGTTAATAGATAGAACGATAAAAATACCAATCAACCACCATGAGAAAGATTGAAGATTTTATTTTTCAAAAAGCCTAAATTCTCAAGAAACTGAAGAATTACTTAATTTTATGAGAAGGCCATGTGGTAATATTCTGACAATTGATTGATAATCGTTGCTAAATGTACTGGTTATGAAAACACGGAAAAGTAAGACGGATAAGATTTGATCTGTAACTGAAACTTGAGAATAAAGATTCCTTATGGCTGGAGTGCAATAACCCTGATAGGGTTGGGGAAATGGATGATGAGAGAGCCATCTGGTAAATATCTGATTTTGAACAAGACAAACAATTTTGCGCAATTCTTTTAAATTAATGAACATAAGTTAAACCACACCAAGTGGTCAAAGAGCCATTGGTCGAGTGGTAGCCATGGTGGTGAGCACCGTTGAGACACCAAGGTAGGTAGAGAAGCTAACCACACCCATCAGGAGGTGTTACTGTGATATAGTAATAAAAGAAAAAAAGAGTTGGGGTGGTTTGATATCCTGTGACCACTCCACATGGAAGAGCGAATCTCCCTGAAATTGGGCATGTAATTAATTTTCCGGAGCCAGACAACAATGGGCTCTTGTTGGCAATTAGGGAATCACTGGAACCTAAATTGCATCATGCACCCAGGTGGATGTCAATAAATATGAAGAAGTCGAAGCATTCAGGGAAAATTGTTCCAGACACCAGATTAGAGACACTGCACATGACTGCCAGCTGAAGAAAACCTCTGGCACCAGCCTTGTGCCAAACTTAAACAAGTCAGCAAAATGTCACATCTAACTTAAGAAGTGGGTTTGGCTGATAATCGTCCAGATGCAAACTGTTAAATTTTGACAATGAAGTAACCAAATATTGTACAAAGGAACAGATATAAACTTGTTATATTTTATTCAAGCTATTTCCTTTTCTTGCATCTTTATTCCATTTTGGACCAGCCCAATATGAAGATACCTGATGATGATTTGATCCTAGTTAACCTTATGATCAAAACAAATCACAATGTGAGATAAGGCAAGGCTGGGATTGAAGTCATCACCTTATTGATCAACTGTGGGTAATGGACATTTTGGATGACTAGGAGGGACAAGAAGGTGACATATATATATATATATATATATATATATATATATATAAAATTCAAAGGATGTATCTTTGGACTTCATGTTTTGCAGATGCAGAGCGTGTCAAGATAAGATAAATCCTTTTCAATAATTTGTCAGCTCTGATAGATTTTCTATTAAGACTGGAGTAAATGGTAGTGTCATCTGCATAAATGCCTACTTGAGAACTGATGACATCAGGAAGATCATTGATGAAGATCAGAAACAGTGTAGGACCCAGGATAGAGCCTTGGAGGACACCTGTGTTCATGTGAAAGGATCTGGAAGCAAGCTTCTTCAGAACGACTTTCATTTCATGATTTGATAGGAGTGACTGGATGAAATCAAACAATCATCCTGTAATACCATAGCCCTGAAGCTTATGTAGAAGACCAGCATGCCAAACCCTGTTAAATGCCTTTGCGATATCTAAAGCCACAGCTTGAGCTTTGCTGTTATTATCAAGAGCTTGATATACATATTCAGTGATAGCTGTAAGCATGTCAGTGGTAGACTGGAAAAAAAAGAAGCCATATTGTTTGTCAGAGATTAGGTTGTGAGAGGTAAGATGCTTGACGACTTCATTATTGATTAAAGACTCAAATACTTTGCTGAAAAGCAGTAGGAGACTAACAGGGCAATGATTAGAGGGGTCAGAAGATTCTCCAGAGTTCTTAAAAACAGGAACTACAGAGAAGGGCTTTCAACAAGCTGGAAAGCAGAAAGCAGCGAGGTAATAGTTGTAGAGTTTGGAGAGAACTGGAACCAGGTCAGGAGCACATTTCTTAAGGAAGAAGGCTGGGATCCTGTCATCTTCACATGCCTTATGGGGATCAGTCAGTAATCACCAAAAAGAAAAAAAAAACTTCATTAAATGCTGCAATCCTAACCAATTACATTAACAAACACGATTCAGTATGAATGTAATCAAGGGGTAACTAAAAAAAAAAAAGAAAAGAAAGAAAGAAAGCAATTTAGAAATAGGTGAATATTTATTCAGACTGCATCCTTGAACCTTTCAATCTCAGATGTATGCTTTTCATTGAATCCTTAATACTTTTCAAAAAGAAGCCCTGAAACCATTGGTGTATTAAGAACATTTAAAATTCAATGGAATCTCATTGTATCTGATTTCAAAATGCTAACCTCAGGCTGAATCATAGCGATTCAATTTCTTGGTGAATATTACAAGTTTAAAGGGTGTGAAGTGAATGCAGAAGTACATTAAAAGGTTGAAGACAGATACAAAAAAGAATAAAATGAAAAATTAAAGTTTGACCAGATTGCAGCTCAAATGATCCTTAAGAAAATCTATCAAATATAAGAATTTAAAATTCTATTTGAGTATGTTTGGTAAGATTCACAAAGCAGAAGTGAGTATATCTTGCATTGGAGTAGCTATGATCATATCACTTTGGATACATTTGCCTTCAGGTCAAAGAAGAGGAAACTTTGCAATTTGGGGCAATAAAAAATTAAGTTGAAATTAAATATAAAATATAAAGAAACTTTACTGTAAACTGAAGAGAATGTATTATGTTAAAAATGTATTATTGTCTAATATTTGTGGTGAACCCAGATGTAAAATAAATTATATAAACAAAAAAAAAATAGAATTCAAATTAAAATAAGGCATTTGCTTTCCCTTAAACTCCTTCTCTCTTTTTCTCTCTCTAAACTTCTCTCTCAACTACCAAGAAGGCAACCCTCAGTGAAAAAGAGGAAGAAGAAAAACTGAACATGTCTACAAAACAGCAGAAGGTTGCTGTTGCATGCATCTTGCCACTGAAATAAAAATCTACCACAAGAAGAGAGGCTGCACTCATAATTTCTGCTATAAAAAAAAAAATGAAAAGAAATGAATACTAGAAAATAAAAAAAAATTTGTCCAATCAAAAACAAAAAAACAAAGAGACTTTTGATATTAGCTGAAACCAAGCCTAGATCCCTGTGTATAGCGATATAAATGGACAGCCCAGAGGCAGAACAGGAGAAGGGACTACCCGAGAAACCAGTCAAGCAAAGAAGTGGTCATCTGGTTAAGATATTTTCAACCCTTTTGAGGGTTGAGAAAACATGGCATCAAGATGCCATGTTTCTATTTCCAAGATGACACCTACTATTAAGGCCTGACTGCTACTTTCTCCTGACTGCTACTTTCTCCTGACTACTAGCGATGTTGGATTTGTAAACAAACTTTCACTATCCTGAATTACAAAGGATTTGCTCCAATTGAAGTCAAATAAATAAATATATATTATTTATTTATACCTTTGATTCAGTTTGTTTATTTCCAAAGTTTCTGATAAATATTGCTAAGTCTCTATAGTATCTTTATTACATCTTCAATACTTTCATAGATAGTATTAACTAATCAATGTTTGAAATACTTCATCCCAAATATTTATATGATAAATGCACTATATGAACTTCATCATAGAATATCTGATTTTATTAGGATCATTTACAATAATTTGGTGGGGTGAAATTTTAGGTAATATCAGAGTTGGTCTTCATATTGTATATATTATATATTAATAATTACATATATACCTACATACTGCAAACATAGGCATATGTGCAATTGTTAATATATACTTTATAGCCCTGTTTAACTACATTGAGTACTGTTTTGTCTACACCAAAAATTAAATAAATATTTATTTGCTAATCTGTGTATATAATTTTGCATGCATATATATCAGTTGCTCATATTTCATTAATTAGCTCATTTTCCACATTATATATATATATATATATATATATATATATATATATATATGTATATAGAGTTGGTTTAGTTGTGGATTCTAATGCATTTTCTTGAAGTATTCCATGTATATGTTAGGTATTCATCCTGCCGATATATGTCTGATCCCGTTCTGAAGTATGTTGTTTGTGTACAGAAAGTCAGCATCTCCATCAGGTTATCTATTGATTTATTGGTCCGTTCTCCTAGGAATGATAGAATTGTTGAAAGTCTTTTATTTATTCATAGATATGTGCATTTATTTGAATATGTTAGTGGGGGTGGTTGGAATTTTTGTTAATATATATTGGGTTGTTATTTTGTTCCCTGTAAGGCTGTTTTTTAAGTGTTGTCATCCTCTTGCAGCCTTCTATCCCATTTTGTCAGAACTGCTGCCATGTACCCAGGGTAGTTGTTATGTTTTAGGGTACTGCTTATAATGACCATTTCTTGTTCATATGTCTCTGGGTTGCCACTTATGACTTTTGTTCAATGCTTGTGGCAGCAGATGATCCCTTTCTTTACATTGTATGGGTATTAGGAGTTGAAGTTGGGGTATTGTTTGGTGAATGTTGGCTTGCTGTATACGGATGTCCTGAACTAATGCTCTGTTCCAGATATTAGTACATCCAGGAATGCTAGTTTGTTGTTGCTTTTTTTCTTCATTGTGAACTGTATCAATGATCTTATTGAATTCACATGGCCCAGTAGTAGCTGGATCTCTTACTGGGGTGGCCAGTGTATGAAGGTGTCATCTACATATCTCAG